AGTGCGCTTTTTTAATGGACTCGAATGCTCGTGAATTTAGATTTTTGAATTCCTGAGCGATTTTGTCGCGAACATGGTGAGCAATGCAAGGGGCGCAGCTAATTCCAAATGTCATTCAGCGCATGACGAATATTTTTGGAGTCTGATTATCCTTGTGGAGCCATAAAAATCGTTGAGCATGCATGCGCTATCATGAATGTTAATCTGATGAAACATTTCGGCAGTGTCTGCACACACAGCTATTCTGCCGACTCTGAATGCCATTAGAACATCGGTTAATGGAATAAGATAGTCAGGTCCGCTAAAAATAAAATCATTAAGTGATTTTCCATGGGCCTTGGCTGCTGCATCCCAGACTAGCCTTATTTTACTTGGTTTATTCGGATTGTTCAGAGTAAGGATGGCGCTGGCGGGGCAACCGCTTTGTGGGCATTCCAGCCACACATCGCTGTTAGCGTTCCAGCTACACAAGCGGTCGCCCTCGCTCTCGCCCTCGTACTTAAGAGCATTTTTCCCCCCGGCGACGCGCTCTCGCGCGCATATTCACCACGCTTGCGCTCCCCCACGCTCACGCTCCCGCTTTCGCCTCCGACAGCCCTCGGCAGCTTGAGTACCACCGACCTAGATTAATTCGCTATTCCACCCTAAGCATACATATATATATAAGCTAAGCCTACGAATAAACACCGAAATATACTTGAAGAATTTGGATTTGCCTGTCATATTTATCTGTGGGAAACATCTGTGGAACTTCGCACGCCTCTACGCTCAATCATTGGTCCTTCGAGCCGGATTCTACTTCGCCTTCCCCAACTCCCCAACTTCACCACACCAGGATCCCAAGATAAGTACGATTTTCGTGTGCCACAAGTCCCTTCCATTCGCGATTTGTGTTCCAAAATTCCGAAAAGTCCGAGTTCCGCGATATAAGTACATATATATATTCTTATATATGTACTTATTCCTTCATTCTGTGCCATCCGTTATCCGTGTCTCTTCTTTTTTCGACACCGCCATATTATCGGCGATTCCGGCCGTTCTCCCGTCATTCACCTCCAACTAACAGTGATACGGTAGTTTTTTCGATTACTTGTGTCTGTCCATGATTTGCGGACAAATTAAATAAATAAAAATTAAACCAAAAAAAAAAAGTGCATTCCGAGCATATGTATGTACGCACATTCCAGCCCATAAGAGCGGCTTGCGTACATACACACACATCTACATCCGTGTCTCTAAAGGTGCATTCCAGCACGACCCACCCCAATAAAATATACTTTGGAACACTCCGAGTGCAACTACAATCACATCAAGTGTTTTATTTCCATACCTACAAACACACGTAGAAAAATACCGCACTCCATACTACACACATACTCCGCTCAAGTGCCATATTTAATATAAAATTCGCGATTTCGGGCTATTCGTGCATTCCAACGACTTTTATCGATCGCTACCACAACTCCAACATTCTCCATTTTCCAAATAAATTGCTCGCGACCAAGGCACGGCGCACTAATAGTAATTATTTGGCAATTTCCACTGCCAATTTGCAAATTGGTGTTTCGGTTTTTTTGTTGTTTTTGTTCCGGGCATTAGAGGTGGCCCAATCCAAGATCCAACTATCGGCATCAACACGAGTGGAACAATGAATAAATCACATTGATTGATTGATTTAATTGATCGTTTTGATTGAATTGGTTGATTGATGGAGTGATTTATTTTTCCACAATCTGAAAATTTATTTTTGATAAGAAAATCATTAATTATTTTTTGTGCGGTGTCCGTGTCACTTCCGTCCATCCGTCTTCCATCCGCCAATAACCCGGTTCTACTCACGATTGCGTCAAAGGGGTAAACGGAGGATCATCGCACTAACAATATTTCCCGAAATATTGCCACCATCAGTGTGACCGTTCCTCTCCTCAGCTCGGCTCAATATAAGGTCACTCATTGTTTGGGACCTCCCTCCTACCGGTGATCTCAAAAAATCCGAGTCGATCTGATTATTGCTTTCCTGCTAGCTTGAGGTCTTTTCTCTGCCAGCCGTCCGTAACTGGGTTATCATTTCGAAACGATTTGGTTGCCTGACGGTTTTTTCGAGTCACTTCGACTCAGACCAGTCTCCTGTCTCTCCAAGACTTCCAAGTCCGATTTTCTGTGCGTGTGTGAGTTCGGAATATGCCAACAGGTCACAAGGACGGTAGCAGTAGCAGCCCTGCGGCAAGGACCAAATCGGTTCTGTTCCCGTCTCCTGTCACTCTTAAGGTTCCAGGTATGACCAAACAAGATCCGAAGGGCTCCTTCGTTAACAGCCCCGTCAGCTCTCGCCACTGGCTCAATGGCTCAATCCGCCACCTCAGTCGCTCGGACCAAATTGGTCGCCGCTATTGGCCGACTGATTCACCTGGCAGAGCGCATCACCGCCCCATCAGAAATCCAAGCGGACATCCGTGACACATACGGTGAATGCTATGGGGTATTTGAGCAGTGTCTCAGTGACCTCAATGCCCAACTGGCCACATCCACAGTCCTTCCTCCTTCACAGCCAGTCCAACAGGGCGGCTGTCGACTGCCTCCCGTCAACATTGAGGCATTCTCCGGGGACTACGTCCGCTGGCCCACATTCAGGGATTTGTTCACTGCGGTCGTGATCAACAATCCTAGATTGTCTCCGGTAGAGAGGCTGTATTACCTCACCGAGAAGACCCGGGGCGATCCGAAGGCCAGAGAAATCCCCCCTCACTAATGACGGTTTCGAGTCCGCATGGTTAGCTCTCCGCTGCCGATACGAAAATAATCGGCTTCTGGTGACCAACCAAATCAACATCCTCCTCTTTTTGCACCGCGTAACATCCGAATGCACTCGTGCCTTGAAGGATCTTCAAAGTACGATGCAAGGAGTTCTAAATGCGGTAGCGGTCTCCAACGTCTGCAACGTCTTCCACCTCACGAGGGGCTATGAATCCGCCTCCCTCCAAGGGCGTCCAAAATCCACCCAACTCTCGCAACCACTCCAATCCATTCCGTTCGCAAGGCAGTCCGACGCCAAACAAGGTTCACTCGTTCAATATCCAAGTGAGTCCGAAGAAGCGAACGTGTGACCTCTGTTCCAAAGAGAATCACCTGATTCGAGTTTGTCCCCGCTTTCTCAACATGTCCGTTGATGTTGAATGCACGTTCCAGCTGCATTAAGAAAAAGCAGCTGTGCCTAAATTGCTTCGCAAGAGGTCATCTGCTTCGCGACTGCTCCAGCAGCCACAATTGTTCCACTTGTGGGGCCAGGCATCACACGCTTCTGCATCGTGCCGCTCCTTCATCCAGCGTAGTCCGGCTTCGACTTCCGCCCAAGCCCCCAGCTCATCCGAACCTCAGCCCAACGTACAGAGCTATTTCGCCTCCAGCACAAGTACCGTTCTTCTGGGCACGGCACTCATTAATATTTGTCACCTGGGGACCAATTTCCGTGCCCGCGCACTGATTGACTCAGGCTCCGAGGCGACGTTCATCACTGAACGTCTCTTTAACATTATTAAGCCACCGTTCGAAGCCATACAGGCTCAAGTCGCAGGTTTAAACCAAACCGTAGCGGCTAAGGCGCAAAGGCGCTGTCACTTCATGATCGGGGCCGCCTCCAGGCCTGGCCTCAAAATCGAGACCATGGCATATGTTCGCCTCAATTTGCAGGTAACCTTCCCTCATATCCGATACCGCAGCACTTCTTGGACAAGCTTCCAAATCTCGCGCTGGCAGACCCCTCCTTCCACCGAAGCTCGCAGATTGATGTGCTTTTAGGCGCTGACATCCTTCCTTCTATCCTGTTGAGCGGCTTCCTGTCTGACATTTGCGGCTCGCCGCTAGGACAAGAGACCATCTTCGGATGGAACCTATTCGGTCCGGTATCAGCTGACTCGACTCGGACGGTTTCCGCCTTCACCACGAAGCTCTCGTTAGATTCGGACGTCCGACTCGAGAAGCTTCTCACCAAATTCTGGGAGGTGAAGGACCCTCCGGGGAAACCGACGAGTGAGGCAGATTCTGTGTGCGAGGAAAACTTCCGCAAGACCACTAAACGAGCCCCCGATGGGAGGTATATTGTTACTCTCCCTTTCAAGTGTCCAGAGAATTTCGATCTAGGACACTCCAGGTGCGCGGCACAGGCCCAGTTCCTTAAAAACGACCAGCGTCTGCAGCGGAATTTTCCGCTCAAAGACCAGTACGACGCCGTTATCCAGGAATATTTAGAGCTAGGCCACATGAAAGCGGTTACACCCAGTCATGACTCCGGGCATTACTACCTTCCACATCACGCCGTGTTTAAACCCGACAGCACCACAACCAAACTGCGAGTGGTCTTCAACGCGTCCAGCCCGTCTTCCAACGGGAAAAGCCTAAACGACACATTACATTCGGGGCCAGTCCTTCAGTCTGACTTAACTATGCAAATCCTGAGGTGGCGAGTCTTCCGCTATGTTTTCAATGCCGATATCAGCAAGATGTACCGCCAGATCCAAGTGTCTTCCCAACACACGCCCTATCAGCGAATACTCTTTCGCGACCGTAATAACACGTCCCGTGTGACTATGAGCTTGCCACTGTCACCTTCGGAGTCAATTGCGCACCGTACCTCACCCTTCGCGTCATTAAGCAACTCGCACAAGAGGTGCGCCCATAGTTGCCTATGGCAAGCGACATCCTGGAGAGCTACATGTACGTGGACGACGTGCTGGCTGGTGCTCACACTCAGTCGCAGGCAATCTCCGCCATTTCAGAATTACGCAAAGCGCTCGACACCGCAGGGTTTCCACTCCGAAAGTGGACAGCGAACCACAAGGGCGTACTGCGCGACATTCCGGTCGACCACCTACTTCGAGCTGACTTCCTAGAGCTTGACGAAAGTAGCATCGCTAAGACATTGGGGATCCGATGGCAAGCCAGTGCCGATGAATTCTTCTTTGCTCCTCCCAAAGTACTTCATCGGGAGTCCTGTACGAAGCGCAATGTGCTATCGCAGATTGCACAGCTGTTCGATCCAGCGGGATGGCTTTGTCATCCAAGCCAAAATTTTCATGCACGAAATTTGGCTAAGAGAGTTAGGGTGGGATGACGTCCTCCCTAGCGATCTATCTCAAACCTGGGAGACGTTCCTGAATAGTTTTCCGGCCATCCAGGATGTCCGCATTCCGCGGTGGTTGCACGTTTGTCCAATGGCCAAGGTGCAGATACATGGCTTCTGCGACGCGTCTCAACGTGCCTATGGGGCAGCGATTTACATCCGAGTTGAGCGACCGCAGGGCATTGTCTGTGCCCTTCTCACAGCTAAAACCCGCGTGGCCCCCGTGAAAACGGTTTCCTTGCCTCGACTCGAACTGTGCGAGCCGTCCTTCTGACAGAGCTTTCCGAGGCCATCCTTCCACAACTGCCACTGGACACCAGCCAAGTATCCTTCTGGACCGATTCCACGATTGTGTTGGCTGAACCGACCTGCATGCGATTGGACCACTTTCGTGGGCAATCGAGTAGCCCAAATCACTCGATGTTGGCCCAGCGAGCGATGGAGCCACGTCCGATCCGAGGACAATCCGGCCGACCTGGCCAGTCGAGGGCTAGGACCCTCTGACCTGGCTGGAAGTGATATGTGGTGGCATGGCCCTGCTTGGTTGCGTGGTCCAAAATCGGAGTGGCCATGTCCGCGGGACTCAGTCCTTGAGACTGACCTGGAGAAGCGTGTCGTCAAGCTGCACCATGCCACCAGCAGCGCCTCCGAAATCCTCAGCCGTTTCTCCGACCTAGGGCGCGCTGTGCGCGTGATCGCCTACGTTCGGCGGTTCACTCAGCGAGTTAAAGGGCAGACGACCCATGTCTCCAAGGAGCTGAACGGAAATGAGGTCGCTGCCGCTCTCCAGGCGGTCACACTGACAACCCAACGCTTCCATTATGCTGGGGAGCATCGGTGCCTGCTAAACAAACAGCCACTCCCTACTACGAGTTCTCTTCTGAATCTTAATCCGTTCCTTGACCAGAACGGAGTCATGCGGGCATGTGGCCGAGTCCAAGCCTCGGCGTCCATGTCCTACAACGAACGGCATCCAATCCTGTTGCCACCCGCATGTCTCCTGGTTCGCCTGCTGGTTCGATTCACCCATCATATATCGCTACATGGTGGGAACCAGCTGGTCATTCGCCTTATCCGGGCAACATATTGGATCCCTCGACTACGTCACGTAGTGAGGGCAGTGATTCATTCTTGTAAGGTTTGCGTCCTCCATCGTAAACGACTCCAAACCCAACTAATGGGCGACCTTCCTGCATCACGAGTCACATTCTCCAGACCGTTCACATGCACCGGAGTCGACTTCGCCGGCCCCTTCGACGTTAAAAGCCTCACAGGTCGCGCATGTCGCATCTCAAAGGGGTATGTGTGCGTGTTCGTCTGCTTTTTCACGAAGGCCATCCACTTAGAGGCCACGTCCGACTTATACACCGACACCTTCCTAGCCGCCTTCGCTCGTTTCGTAGCGAGACGAGGGTGTCCTCATGAAGTTCAATCCGACAACGGCAGGAATTTTGTCGGCGCGTCCCGCTCTCTGGCTGTGGATCTTCTCGTGGCAATTCACACTCGGACTTCTGCGGTGTACAGCCAGCAGGGGCTATCGTGGCGGTTTATCCCTCCCGGAGCCCCACATATGGGGGCCTTGTGGGAAGCAGGTGTGAAGAGCTTCAAGGCTATGTTACAACGGTCGATGTGTACGTCCAAATACACATTAGAGGAGTTCGCGACCTTACTTTCGAAAATTGAGGCATGTCTTAACTCGCGACCAATCTCTCCTATGTCTGAGGATCCAACGGATCCGTTGGCCTTGAGCCCAGGCCATTTCCTGATTGCTGGTCCGCTACCATCCGTGGCAGAGCCAGAAATACAAGCGAGCGCCTCCTCCATCCTAAACCGCTGGCAACATCTCAAGGCTCTCAACCAGCAATTCTGTTCGCGCTGAAGACAGAGTACCTGCGAGAGTTGCACAAGCGCAACAAATGGCAGCATCCGACAAGAGACCTCGAGGTTGGAGACCTCGTGGTGATCAAAGAGGAGAACATCCCCGCTCAGGAATGGCGTCTCGGCCATGTGCAGAACGCGTATCCTGGAGCCGATGATAAGGTCCGTGTGGTAGACCTACACACGGCTGGTTCTGCTGCCTATGGAATCGGATGTCCTTTCCACCTACTCTCGCGGAGGCTCCGATTCATAAGCCTCCGTCCTTTTGTTCTGCTTAAATTCAGCGTAGATATCCGTATCCGTATGCCAACCCATGCCAGCTCTTTACTAATGCTCCGGTGATTCCTTTCTTTCATCCTAGTTTTTTTCAGAAGGCAGATATGGCCCCTCAAACCTCATCACGTTCCCGATGCAGCCGCAGGTCGGATCGCTCACGGGCACGAGGAAAGTCTTCCTTCCAATGTCGAGTGTGTCCCGGAGTTCTCCCACTGAGGAACTGCCGGAAATTTATCCGTTTGAGCGTCGAGAAGAGGCTCCGAGCAGTCCTCCTGCATAAATATTGCTCGAACTGCCTGGCTCACGAGCACTCGGGCAAGGACTGCCGCAGTGGAGATCTATGTAAGGTGTGCTCCCGGAACCACCACACTCTGCTCCACCTGCCCGGGTCGCGGCGCCCTGCTGGCTCCTCTTCGGCTCCGTCGACTTCACCTCCGTCTTCCCGCGCCAAACCACGCCCTCGTCTTCCGGTCAGCCGCCCTGTCGTCGGAAATCCAGTCCCGACAGCAAACTCCTTGCTCCAGCACCGGAGCATCAACGTCCTCCCGACGGCAATGGTGGTCCTCGCAGGCACTAAGGTGATGAGTGCGCTGATCGACCCCTGCACGCCGGTCAGCTGCAGGCTCCTATTTCAGGCTGAGGTAAGCATCAGTCTGTCCAGGATCCGCTACAAGAAGGTGGACTGCGTAGTGCAGTGTCTTGGGTGTGTGACTGAGGGACTGCCTAGGGCAGTATCTTGGGTGTGTGATTGAGGGACTGCGTAGTACAGTGTCTTGGGTGTGTGACTGAGGGACTGCCTAGTGCAGTGTCTTGTATTCGGGCTGATGGACTGCCTACTCTTTCGGCCGATCTTGGCCCTTTTATGCAGCTGGCGATCGCACCTGAGACCCGGAAATAATTAATTCTTGCTGACTTAAGGTTATTGGATAATAATAATTGTAGGGTGTGGTAACTAGGTCGAAGCTTGGTGCTTCGTTGACAATTATTAGTGGGTCAGTGTGTTTTGATGAGAGTGTTTTGCTGAGACTGCATCGCAGTAGGTGCGGGCTGCAGTTGGAAATTGGGTTTTTGCTACCTCCGCATCGCGAAGGTGATATCTGTGATTCGAGGCCGAGTGGTTGCGAAATATCGCCAAGAAGTGGGTGACCGAGAATTTCGTGCTGTGTTTTCGCTGATCGAGAGTTCTTAATTTTAGTAACTGCGTGCGTTGCTTAAGACTATTTTATTTCTGGGGTGCTGACACACCGCTATTTGTGGAGAATATCAGTTAGATTATAGTCTCCCGCCAGCGTGGATGCGCTGACCCTTCGCCGTTTGTGACGAGCCATGGCTAGAACCATGGTTCGTTACATGGTTCGTTACATTTCGGTAGGATGGGTCTGTCGAATGTAAATGCTTGGATCTGCGGGGCCAAGTCCGGCGGCCACGGCTCCGGGACTGGTTCGGGCTCATTTTCGGTTGGATCGGCTGCTTCGGAGTCAAATGGCTGGCTGGGGTCTTCGGGTAAGAGGGTTGTATCGAAGGCGCTGGGCGTTTCGATCCTCCGTTGGTAGTCGCTTATGTGGGCGACTAGAGGTGTGGTGTCGACCATGGGTAGATATGTTTCATATCTCTGATGCAATACTTGGGTGGTATTGGCGGTCGTTTGGCGCATGAACAGGTGAGTCTCGGTGATTCCTCTTGTTTTGGACCAACAGCTGGTACGGGCGACGAAGATCTCGGACCTGGCTCTAGGCATGGCTCGGTGCATGGCGCTAGCAGTCAAGTCGGTACGCGGAAGGTACTCCATTGTGTTGGCGAGGATCGGTGTGGCGTTGGCCGTGGGTACGACAGGGCGGCGGTCGGTGCATCGTGGGGGTTTCGTCCTGGGTTCCGGGCCCGCGTTGAGGGGCTCTGTGGATATCAGTTCAATAATGGGCCCCGACCAGCGTGGGGTTAGCGTGGCTGTTTCCCGTGTTGCTGGGCTGTCGGATGGTGGTTGCCGTTGTCCTTTTTCGATGCTGATGGTCGGTTTTGAGGGTGTCCGTGCGTTCAATTCTTCCGTTGTGGATTCTGTGCGTGCTTGCTCTGTTGCTTGTCTTGGACCTGGGCTTCCTGTGTCGAGCGCCGGGTTCAAGTGTGTTTGTCTCGTGTGTGAGATCCTCGTGGTTTGTTTGGGGTATGTGTCCCCTGTGGTTGGCGTAGGACGCGGTTGCTCCGTAGTGACCGTGGGACTCGTTTTCCCGATTGCTTGGTTGCGGTTTGCTGGTGTTGACCTTGGATTCGTGTTCTCCGTAGTGTGCCGTTGCTTCGGATTCGTTGCGATTGGATTGGGTGTCGAGTGCTGCGTTGCGTTATTCGGTGCCGTGTGCGTTGTGGTAGGTCGTGGACCGGCGTCTTGTACGTGGATGGTAGTAAGCACGGGTTCAGTGGGCATGGGGTGACAGTCTCGTAGCTGTAGCAGCGTGGAGCCGCATTGGATCGTCGTTTCGGTGGCACCTAGGAAGTCCATGCCGACAATGACTTGTCCCAACATGTTTGGCAGGACCAGGAGCGGGATTTGAACCTCTCGTTGATCCAGCTTGATGTGCGCCAGTAGAACTTGTGAGATCTCTCTGACCGAGCCATCGGCCAGGCGTATGCGGACGCATGCATCTTGCAGGTTAGTGTTGTTGTCTAGTTGTCGGGCGAGGTTTGCGCTGATGAAGCTTCTGGAAGCCCCGGTGTCGATTGTGGCTTCCGTTGCGTGTCCTCCTATGGTCACCATCGCCACTATCCGGCCGTTGCTTTCGTTTTTTTTTTTTTTTATTATTACGGGATTTTATTTATCGAATCTTCCCTATTAGAGACTTACGACAAGTATACAAATCTTAGCCTAATATATTTATTTAATTATTTACACTTAATTACTTAGAGTACGTCCCTAGCTAAGTATTATTGCTGGGTGGGAAGGTCTCTTCGCCGGAGTCGTGTATGGCTAGTGTGCCAAGTTAAAGACTGCGCAAGTCTATTAGGATGGGCTTGAAGCTTGGCCTGGTACTTTGCTTTCACTTTGGCAATTTCATCTTTAACTGATCCTACATTTAAGTCTTTATGGATATTTTCATTCCGTATGTACCATGGTGCCCCAGTGATAGTTCTTAGTATCTTCGATTGAGCTCTCTGGATTATTTCTAAATTACTAACGCAAGCATTTCCCCATAGCTCGGAGCCGTATGTCCAGATGGGTTTGAGAACTGCATTGTACAAAAGTACTTTGTATTCCAGTTTTAATGGTGAACGGGTGTTTATTAGCCAATGTAGATTACTAGCTTTAAATTTAAGTAGATTTCTCTTCGCTTCGATGTGCTTACGCCAAGTAAGCCTTCTATCCAGATGAACACCAAGGTATGTTACTTCGGTGGTTTGTGGAATGTTGATATTGTTCAAACATAATGGAGGGCAAGTTTGTCTGTTTAACGTGAAGGTGACATGCTTGCACTTTTGCTCATTTACATGTATCCGCCAGTCTGCTAGCCATTTTTCTAAGGCCACGAGATGAGATGATAAGTGATCCGTGGCCCTTCTTGGGCACTTGGAGCGACTTAATATGGCAGTATCATCAACAAATATCGAAGTTGTTGTTAGGCTGTTTGTCGGTAGATCTGCTGTGAATATGATATACAGTGTCGGTCCAAGCACGCTGCCTTGCGGTACACCAGCTTCAATTGGATGATATTCAGAGAGGAAATCTTTGCATCGTACTGCGAAACTTCTTTGCTGTAGGTATGACTCCATTATTCCATGGATGTTCTGTGGAAGTATTATTTTGATTTTGTGGATTAAGCCATCTAACCAAACGCGGTCGAAAGCCTGTGCGACATCCAGAAAAACAGCGGAGCAATACTCCCGTCTTTCAAATGCATTTCGTATCTCAGAGGTTATATGGTTCCGTGTTTTTCGCGAAATCCAAATTGGTGAGTCGGGATGGCACCGTTGATGTGTAGGTGTTGTTTGATACGATTCAGGAGCAGCTTTTCAAATATCTTTGATAGGCAAGGCAGTAGGCTGATAGGTCTATATGATGATGGCTTGGACTTGTCTTTTCCGGCTTTATGAATCATTGTGATGACTGATTTCCTCCATTCTTGAGGATAATAGCCCCATTTCATCATGCTGTTGAATATCATAGTAAGGAAATACACTGCACAGCTCGGCAATTCTATGATCATTTTAGGAGAGATGAAATCGTGGCCCGGAGCTTTCTTTTGCTTTGAGATTTGGTCTTTAATGACCCTTGTGACTTCTCCTGATTGGAATATGATAGGCGGAGTAGCTTCGGGATTGTTGGTTGGTTTGAAGACGTTTTCTAGATGGACGGCAAATGTATTTGCCTTCTCTTTGTTGCTGCGAGCCCACTCTCCTGCTTGTGTACGCAAAGGTGATTCACTCTCGATTGGTGGGCATACGCCTGATTTTGCTTTCCACAGTGGGAATCGTTTGCTAGTTGGGGAGAGTTGCTCCATATAGGATATTTGAGCTCGGTTTTTTTCATCTTCTAGGGCTCTGCGTAGTAGGTGGTTGGCTATTTTTAGCCGCTCTTTCGATGCAGGTGATCTGTGTGCTTGCCACTCTCGGCGAAGCCTTCTTTTATCGCGTAGCAGCACTTCAATGTGCCTAGAAATACGACTGCTGTTGGAAAGTTTATTAGATGCTAATATTGGTGTTGAGTGTTTTGCCGCCAGTGACATTGAGGAAACCAATGCTTCGACTGACCTATCAATGTCATCTTTACAATTAATGTTTGGGCAGCTATCAATATGAGAGCTTATGTACTTCCTGTATTTGAGCCAATCTGTTTTGCTAGAAGTTAGAAAGTGTGGGCGTTCCGAAAGCTGTGGATGGTCGTAAAGGTGAAGTAGAATGAGCGAGTGATCCGATGATAGATCTGTTAAGTGATCTACATTAATCTGAGCTTGCAGCACCCTTCGTGTAACTGCAAAATCAATCAAGTCGGGTTGCTTGTTTGGATCTGTGGGCCAATATGTGGGCTTGCCCGGAGAGATAAAGTCTAGCTTGTTTCGTGTTGTTATTATAGCGTTATATAGTTGTCTTGCTTTCGGAAGGTAAGTCTAGATCTCCAATGGGTGTGCTTGGCATTGTAGTCACCAGCTGCTATAAATCGGTCACCTAGTAGGTCGAAGAATGTTACAAATTCTGTTTCGGAAATACAGAAGCGTGGTGGGCAGTATACTGCGGCTAGGTTTAGGTAGCCGCTCTGAATTTCAATATGAATTGCTGTTGCCTGTAGATAAGGTGTATGAAATGAAGGCAATGGATAATCCCTAGTGCGATTCTTGATCAGAACGCTAGTACCTCCATGTGCCCTACCATCGGGATGATTTGTCGCATAGAAGTTATAGCCATCGAGGTGAAAATAGTTTTTATTTGTTAGGTGAGTCTCTGATATGAGCATGGCGTCAATGTCGTGTTGAGCGATGAACTGTAAGAGCTCGCATTTGTGCTGCGAAATGCCATTTGCATTCCAGAAACATATATTTAGACAGGCCATTTAAACAGATTTCTGTTTGATTAGGAGCTCCAGGAGGAGATTTTGGTTGCGC